CCTTATATTTGCCATGAAACGTTTGTCTCTGCCTTTCGGACCCACATTCATTAGCTATGCCGCAAGCAAATTTTTTATTGTTACAGAAAGCCGCAATTGTAAATCGATTTAAGTGGTGGTTTTCTTAGGAAAATTGTTACTGTAAATATTTACATCGAGGGTTCTTAGCTGACTCTAGTAAAGTTTACTAATTTTTACTAGCCTTCACACCTTCGTGAAAGAGTGAACAATGGAGGCAACAAATTGAATCGTGTTGATCTCCGAGAATTTGTACAGGTTACAGACAGTGGAACTGCCAGCGCTCGAGGCGCGTCTGCCGAGTGCACGCACGACGTGGGTGACGTCGTGGGTGGCTTGTGGACTTAGGCAGCGCGGGAAACCTCATCTAAGCTATTCAAAACTCAAATACAAATTACACTTTATCACCCCCCTGCAGTGTGAAGTATCATCGGCATGACACAAAGACTGTGCCGAAAGGCTTCGAACGTCTTCGTCGTCAGTCCCTTGGTCATGATGTCGGCGTACTGCTCACCGGTCGGCACATGGAGAACGCGGAGCTCGCCGGCTTGCACCCGTTCACGAACGAAGTGGATGTCAAGTTCGATGTGCTTCGTGCGCTTATGATGGACCGGATTCTTGGACATGTAGACGGCCGACACATTGTCGCAGAACGCCACGGTAGCCTTCAGGATGGGGAAGTGGAGTTCGCCGAGGAGCTGGCGGAGCCATATGCACTTAGCGGCGGCATTGGCCACCGTGCGGTATTCCGCCTCTACACTGGACCCGGAGACGATGGGCTGGCGCTTGGGCGTGCGTAGTTCCTATCTGCTGGCACTAGGACAGTATTTGTCCACCTATACATGACCTCTGCAACTACTGTAATCTTTTCTGCTAACTGTATCTAAAGACCTTTCAAACCTATCTTTGCACTCTCTACTTGCCGATTGGTGGGTACAGGTCCAGATGTACATGCCTAGAGCTTCTATTGGGGTGCACTTATCTGTTGATGGCAGGCCAAACGGCAGCAGGGTGTCATGCAAATGCATGAAGGCATCACGCGTCATGCGCAAATTGTCTATATATTTGGTTTGGTCGGCAAGGGTAAGCTGCATCCATTGGGCTCCAGATAGCTTAGAAATGGGACAGGGGGGATTTACCTCAGGCATTTGCTGTGACATAATACCTTTCAACCTCAGAAGGACGACTGCTGCCTTCGCCAAGGTCACAGTGCTCGGTCCTTCACTGGAAGTGTCGCTGTACGATGACTCGTCAGTGCTGCTCATTATGCTACCTGCAAATGGGCAGAAATCAGTAAGATTGTAATGCAGATATTAGGAACAAAACATTTGCTAATAAGTGAACATGTCAAGATACCTGAACTAGGTAGCACCTCGAAAACAGGTTGGAATGTACAAGAGAAAAGTGATACATGCATAATGTCTTACAACACTCATAGCACGACACAAATATTTTATTCAAAACACGAGACAACGACATGCACTTAGTTCTCCGCAATGGTCTTTGGTAATACAAAAAAATGAACATAACGAAACAACAAACAGAGTGAACTCAACATGCACATGGTGGATAACCGAAAACAGTAGAAAAACCACAGTCCGAAGAAATGTGCTGATCACTGGGACTTTGTGGAGCACACAAAGGCCCACGTCACATTGATCCAGTTTAGCCGGCCCTCTTTAGATTTCATATTAAGAAAACCCTGACGACAAAGCCTGTTGTTGCAAAGGTTTAGGGCTTGCACGAATACTACATCGGTCTCGCTGATACCATCTTGCAACAGAATCGCATGGACTTGGGCCAACTCCTGAGCATCTGTGATATGACGGGCCTTCTGGGACCTAGCCTCCCTGATAAATTGGCTCAGGTCTTCAAGGCACTCTTCTACGGATGGAGTCTGGCTACTCTTCTTGCTGCGAGGACTGTTAACAGAATATTTCCTATGGACTCTCTTCGAGGGCTGATGACCACTACGTGGCAAGACCGGCTCGTCCGACAAGGATGGAGGAGTGCGAGGGCTTCCACTACTGGGTGACTTGTCAGGTCGATGCCCCCCCGCCGATAGCAACTCACCCCTGTCACGTGGGGTGCGTCCTAAAATTGTGATCAGTTGCTCACAGCATTGGGGTTGTCTGAACTTGTTTCTAGCGGGTTGGCTACTTTCCTGCACGTGTTCCAGTGATGGCGAAGTTAGTACTGAGTTAGTGGGAACCTAATTGCTAAAAAAAGTCAAGGGAATGCGTGTAGTTAGTACCCCGGGGCTGGCGCTGTACCACTCAGGGTCAGCTGTAACCTCTGTAGTAAGAGGGTCACGGCCTAGCCCAGTATGGGTCTGTCCGTCGCGCCAATTGAAGTAACAACGTTTCAGCTCGTTGTACTTGTTCTGGCACATTTTCTTGTTGTACCCGAGCCTCGTGACTTCGTTGAACTCACGAACGACATTGGTCCACCCTAGTGAGGTTGGACCAGTGGAGTTCCAGTGACAGAGGTCTCTCTGCTTGATGATTAGGTCAAGAAGCAGAGAGCAGGTTCTGTCATCCCAGCTAGCATGGTCCTGGCTCATCTGCTTCAAGGATCGACATTTTTAGGGATTTCGTACATGGATGCATATGTTATGTCGTACGGATGGTATTTCAAGTAAGCATAGTCGAGAGTGGGCGACGGAAAAAAGAACTTGCCTTTTGGGTCCGTTTGCGGCGGTTTGAGCGGAGGTTGTAATGGCTGGCAGCAGTTGAAGAGCAAGACGAAGCCGACGACGCTGCCAGTTTGGGTAGCATTGATCACCACCGGACGAAACGTCCCTTCTATGTCTGCAGTGCAAACATAGAGCACACTTGTAAGATGTTAAACATAATCTGAAAATAGAACATTTGCAGTGGTGAAGAACATTAAATGTGTACTGTCAGACATAATCTGAACTAGAATATCAACAGAGAATTCCTTGTCTCACATTTTGACCACTGGAACAGTAGTGTTGTAAATTCATTAGTCATACTTTCATGTTTAGTTTGCAAAGTTCAGGTGCACATTGTAGGATGACATGTTCAATATATTGCATACCTTCGAAATTGCATTAAATATATTGATTACTAGTATACTTTGATTCAAAGCAAACAGCAACATCAGATGTACAAGGATGACATGTTCGATGGCAGTTTGATGTAGAGGTCCCTTAGGCCAAGAGTTACTACAAAACATGTTTGGGTCCAATGTCCTAGCTCAATAATCACTGATAAACTATATAAGTACAAGGTATGGGACTGCAAGGAGAAGAAATATACTCAAATGATCCAATGCTCAACATTACAATTGTACCAACTCCAGCAGTGCCCACAAAATCGCAGTCAAAGTGTGTGGGTGACAAGGTGAGAATGATTGATTTGTAGTGGTTATCATTCTCATCATTTGAAAAGACCCAACATAAGTAGAACCAATCTTACATGGGCACTGTGGCAAATTGATTTGGCCTTGGAAACATGGATTGGCATACGGTATAGTAAGCTAAAACATGGATTGGCCTTGGAAACAGTGGGAGGCGGAGGTGGAGCATAGGGTATAGTAAGCTAAAACATGGATCTGTAGGTAGAGCAGTTCTGTAATGTAGAAACCAAAAAAAATAACAACGCAAATTCATTACACAGCCGGAATTCCTTGCATTTATTTGCAAATCTGTAAAATTTGTCAACTTGATACAAGGTGTTCTAACACACATCAGAAACTTCCTCAAATAAACGTACATTCAATCACACAAGATGTGGGGATTTCTATCCTACACATATAGGAACAGACATGAGTACATGTTGGATCTCAGATCCGGCCGGGTCAAATTGCGGCGGCGGTGGGTTCCGGGGGGCTTATCGTGCTGGAGGGAGTCGCCGTTGATGGAGGCGGGGTCCGAGGAGAGAGGCGGAGAGCACTGTCACCGAGGTCCGGCGAGAGTGCAGGAAACCCTAGCCACGCGGGGGTCAAACTACAAGATGAACAGCTGCGGCTCAGAGGCGGCCAGGTGAGAGGACGGCGGCGTGGGATTAAGGGGTTACCTTGCTGGGCGAAGGCGCCGTCGATGGAGGCGGGGTGGGGGAAGGGGGAGGACGTCACTGTCACCGCAACCCCGGCGAGGAGGACGGCGTAGAGAGGCGGCGGTGGCCGGATCTGGTGGCCACCGACGGGGCCCGGCGACGCGCCGCAGACCACCACCGGGAAACGCGCGGAGAGACGACGACGAGCGGCGCGTGTGCGTGGAACCCTAGCCACTGACGGGAGAAAGGGGAGAAAGTGAGAGACGCCGACACACGCTGGACGCTATGGCTTATAACACCAGCCATTCGGCTGGTGCGGCTGTTGCTGGGCTGCCGTTCGATAAGCCCAGCACCAGCCAGCCCAGCCAGCCTACCGAACAGACTGGGAGTCTTCGTTCCATTTGTTTTGTTCCTACTGTAAAAGACGAATGGTGACGCTAGCTACAGGGTAGATCATAGCGAGTTCAGAGTTCTTCAGAAAGGCGTTTCTGCCTGGCTGGTTTTCACTGCGAAACGGCAACGGCAAAAGCGTGCTGTGTGACGAACACGATCGATCGTGGCCTTGGTCGTTAAGCATCACAAAACCAGCAATGAGAACAGAAAAAAAAAGTGGGATATGACGAAAGCCTGGCCGGGACGCAAACTGCTAGGAAAAAACTCCGCGTCCCGCCGTCCGCTGGATCCGCGTCCATGAGCTGGCTGGCCGTCGGAGCCGCGTGCCCACCCCGGGGACCCCCGCCCGCTCTCCGCCTTTATAATAAGCCCAGCCCCAGCGGCGGAGCGAGCTCAGGCTCTCAGCTCATCGCATTCACCACCACACGCACCCCCACATGCCTGCCTTCTGCTCTCTGATATTCTTCGTCGCGCTCGCTGTCGCCTGCCGTCGATCGACAGGGTCCTAGCCTGCAGGGCTCGCCACGAAGAGCGGATAAAAGGTAGCCGCACGCACAAGCAGGTAGCAAGATGTCGGACGGCACGGCGACCTGCATCGACATCATCCTCGCCATCATCCTCCCGCCGCTCGGGGTCTTCTTCAAGTTCGGCTGCGGGGTATGTAATACTATCTAGTTCGGCCTCTTCTGGTGGTGGTTTTCTCACTGCTTGTTGCAGAGCCAGCGTGTGTTCGTGCGTGCATGACACTGTTATGTTGCAACTGTTGTGTGCTGGCTGATCCTGATCGATAGATGACTGTATGTTGGTTGGTTGTGGTTGCAGGTTGAGTTCTGGATCTGCCTCATCCTCACCTTCTTCGGCTACCTCCCCGGCATCATCTACGCCGTCTGGGCTATCACCAAGGAGCCAGCCGGAGCATAGGAGCCACGGTCCCCTGCCAGGCAGCCGGCCTCTTCAAGGTATGCTCCATCTGATCCTCCTCACCTTCTTCAGCAGCTTGCTATACTGCTCGATCAGGGTTAACTTAACTGACCAATCGTTTTGTTTTATCTGCTCATGGTGGGGATGCAGGTGATCTGATGATGGGGGACGTGGTGCGCGTGACTCCGTCGCGCCCGCTGTGAAATATGGTGTCGATTTGAGATGTGCTTCCTTCCTTCCTTCCTTCTTTCTTTGTTAGTTGCTGCTGCTGGTGTCCGTCTCCATTCCCCTTTCTTAATTAGTTTGTTCTCGGTCCTACTCCTGCTGCTGTACTCCTCTCTCTCCGTGGGATGCGTCGTCCAGTTCTTCTGCACATTCTCCTCCATGTACTTCGATTCATGGATTATTAATTAGTGTTTTGTTTAACCAGTTGGTCTTTTCTATCTTCGATTGTTTCTGTTACATACAGTATCTTCAGATCAGTAGTACGTACTAGGGTGTGTTTAGTTGGGTGAAAGTTATTAATTAGTTTCGTTTTTATTTGGTTAACCAATGTTGGTCTTTTCTGTTCGTCTCGTAATTTCCAATTCGATTGTTTCTTTTACACATTTAATCTTCTATCGCACGTATCGCAATATTCGATGCGATAAATCTTCAGATTTTTAGTACGTAACTAAACACGCTCCTAGTTTGTTTGGGTAGGGAGATGGGAATTGATGCACCAGCGCAGCCATTGTTTTGTTTGGTGAGGTGCTAAGCCTCTGCTGCTCTGCACGGGTAGCTTAGCTAGCTAGCTGCACGTTTCAAACGGAACGGACGGTGGAACGGATCGCGGAAAGGGAGTGGCGACGAAAACCATGGCCCGCTTGTCGCGTTCCCAAATGGCCAAACCCCAGTGGAGTGGTACCCGGTGCGCTGGCTAGTCCTTGTCGATCGTCCTCGATTTGTTTTTTCTTCTTTTGTTGGTATATCGATCGTCCTCGATTTGCGATCCGTATCGTTTACCAACTCCACCTGTGTTCGCTAGCTTTTTCTTCTTCCTTTTGATTATTGGGCAATCGGGATTCCGGGGTGCTGGCAGGTGACAGGTCACAAAATGCCAGCTGACCTGCGTGGCGCCTAGCGTCATGTGATGTGTACGTGCAACGGCAGTATACGAACCAGGGTACAAGGAGGAGGAGGTAGCAGAGCGATGGGGTTTTAATTCTTGTTTATATAGTGGAAATAAGTCTATGCTATGATATCAGAAAAAAAAAAAAATTGCGTGGGGTGGGGGTGGGGAATGCAGTCGAACTTACCGTGAATTCATCACTACTCGGACGTCTCAACTTTGTTTTTCTGTTAGTACCACACTAGTGTATTGTTAGGGGAAAATGACACGTCGTATCTGACCGGGCAAGCGAGCGACGGAGAGCAAGAGAGCCCGGCGGAAACGGGCACTACCATGGTTAGTCTTGGGAAGAACACCAACAACTTGTACGTGGATTTGGATGAGAGCGTGCCGTGAGCATTGAACACGTCCGTGGATTTCGTTTTCTTGTGCGACCACCTGGTTCCCCGAGGGCCGCGGAAGGCCGAAAGCAACCGCCCCAATCAAACAGCCTCCGGCCCTCCGCCGCGGGGTGATCGGGTCGGATCGCCAATTCGCCAGCGGCGGCGGCGGCGTTCGGGCCCGGCAGGCGCGGCCCGCCCAAACGAAACGAGTATCCAGGTTCAGGAAACGAAAACACGCACGCACCACCGTTGCACACTGGCATCGTGTCAATTCACACCGGATCCCTCAGGGTCTCCGCTAGTAAAAACGTATCGGCAGCTATGTATATTATCTAGTTGGTTTACACTTGCAAGGGCTTGATGGTATACAGCTCACATGGCTGACTCCTGACTTAAGTAGAGATGGCAGCCAGTGTTACAGCAAAGGCCGCCGTTGTGCTCACTTGCATCGAACCGCTGCACTCACTGGCATCAAGTGGCCAAACGGGACCTCTAGTACTAGTAATCAAACCGCGCTGCACTCACTAGCATCAAACGGGACCTCTAGTAATCAAACTGTCGGCAGCTTTGTGCATCATCAAACGGAATGCCCGAGTCGGTCAATCAAAACCAATCTCCATGCATGCGCAGTTTGGTTTGTTTTTGCACTACAACTACAGGGCTTGATGGCACAACTCTCAAGACTGACCTCTGACTTCAGTAGAGATGGCGGCCAGTGTGCTGTTACAGCGAAGCAGCTCAACAAGCCACAGCAAGGTCCAGCAACACAAACTTCTGATGATATACACGACATTGGTTACCACAATCTGATGGGTGAACCACGCCGTGCCGCCGCGAGGAACAGGAATCAAACTGTTGTCCAGAAACAACTGGAATTCAGGTGTCGGGTACCATTGCACAAGTTTACAGCATGACTGTCCAATGGTTTCTGCTGGGCACAGGTGAAGATGGACACACCAATTATCTGCACCTGAAATACATATAGCATCTCCCCACCAACAGAGAGTATCTATCCTAGTCCATGATTTATTAGATACAGTATCTATCAACCCCAGTGAACAGAAGCATGTAAAGCCAACATAGCATAGAGATTCAGATTCTCAAATCATTAGGTCGGGTTCATAAACCCGGGGTTCCCAATGGACCTGTTTTCCTGTAATACTTGGCCCAGCAGGCAGCGCAGCGACAGCGCGCGTCTGGGCCGGCCCAGATACACAATGACAGGATGAGACCACGATCCAGTCCCCGACCGGCACCTCCGGCCAGGAGACCTAGTCGGAGCCCCAATCGGAAGGCCTGGCCGTGGTGGGACCACAGTCCGACTCCGACCCCGTTCCTTCTGTAAGGAAAATGGACCCTTGGTCCATTTACTTTGGATTTTGGTGTTTGATGACCAACACAACCAAATTGGACTAATGAATTTGCAAGTGTTTATTTTGTAGTTCAATAGGATGCAAGACGGGAGCAAGCGGACGAGATAATGTAAGTGATCCGATAATCAACACTTTAAGAAAGACCTTAGGAGCACAAGACAAGACCCAAGAGATCAAGTAAAGTCCAAGCATGAAGATTGTAACACTATACAGCCTTCCGCATACGATCGCATAAACAATATTGTTGGCTCCATCGTTTGGACCTGGCGAACACTGGACAAGTGACCCAGACATGAACGATGGGTGGGATCTCGGGTGGAGACTCGGTGAGACAAAGCATGAATAGTAAGGACGATGACGGTGGCGGCAACCGACGACCGACGCAGGCAACAAGACTAGGTGGATCACGATATGACATTCTCTCCTTTTTCCGTCTTTGACTTGTAAGGACATCTCCTTCATCTATAAAATGGGATGCATTGTCTCCTAAAAGGTCGACGACTAACACGGACACCCCGTCATGACTCTAGAAGGAGCAAAAGCAGATCAATGGGAGTTAGAGCTCGAGAGAGCTACACTTTCTCCGTGGGGCAATAAATACAACCCCCAACCGCCATTTGATAAGAGTGGAGCTAAGCTCTAACATATCTAGGGTGTTGATACACTATTTTAGTGATCTTCCACTTGCACTAGAGTCCTTAGTGTTTCATCATTGATTACCGTGGGTGCTTTCTCACTTAGGTTGATTAGACCACCGCTAGCTCTAGTTTGGTTTGCCTAATTGATGAAACCCTAAGTGCTAACCTAGTTTATCAAGATGATTATGAGATAGGTAGCACTACTCCAAGTGGGCTTGAAGTCTTGACGAAGATCATGACAATGGTGGTGATAGCATGGTGATCATCAAATGCTTGAACTTGGATAAGAAGAAAGAGAAAAACAAAAGGCTCAAGGCAAAGGTATAAAATGTAGGAGCCATTTTGTTTTTAGTGATCAAGACACTTAGTGAGTGTGATCACATTTAGGATAGATAACCTATTAAGAGGTGTACTCAGAAAATCACGGTTATCAAAGTGCCACTAGATGCTCTAACTCATTGCATATGCATTTAGGATCTAGTGGAGTGCTAACACCGAAATATTTGTGAAAATATACAACACATGTGCACAAGGTGTTTGCGGGGTTGAGATGGTTTGGGTCCCTCTCTCCTCCCGTCGAGCTTATGGGGGATTCAACGCTTTGGAAAAATGAAATGTCTATTTTCTATTGCTTCGGATGCATAATTCTTGGTGGTTGGCACATTTGAGCAAGGGTGAATAAGTTAGAGTTGAAATGGAGTTTGATGTCATATCTTCTACCTTACACTCTTTAAGCTTCGCACGGCCGCTTTTACATTGATCATATATTATCATTTTATGGTAGAGCGTCCGGCCGATATGCCTCGGGGAGCTTATTTGAAAAGCGACCGACGACACTTTGCTTCGTCGCAAAACCGTTGCACATCTAAATAGATTATCTTTTGCATAGGTTTTGCTCCATCGGCGAGTAGAAAAAGAGTCCGCCATATGTTTGGAGTTAGAATTTTTGCCCAATGAAGGGGTACCCTCTTTGATGGGGCTCTATTTATAGCCCCATGGCGTCCAAGGGAGCCTTTGCACATTTTCATTGATATTGGACCTTGTGAGCTTAGCCAAAGCCCTCCCACTCATCTCCATCATTGATCCATCATCATTGTGAGATTGGGAGAGAATCCAAGTGCATTGCTTGAGTGATTGCATCTAGTGGCACTTGGTATTCGTGTTCTTGCAAGGATTTCGCTTTTTTTCTCTTGGTGCGCCACCACCTAGACGGTTGGAGCAGCGGTGAAGGATCGGAGCACAGAGTTGGTGATTGTTCGTGCACCCCTTGATGATTGAGGGGAGTTGTACCTTCCCGGTGGAGTGCCGAAAGGTAACTCTAGTAAATTGCTCGTGTCATTGAGTTACCTCACTTGTGGGTCGGTTCTTGCGGTGTCCCATCGTGTGGGACGAGGTTTGTGAAACACCTCTTAGCCACCCAACCACCAAGTGTTGGTCGACACAACGGGGGGACGTAGCGTGTTGGCGCAAAGCGTGAACCTCGGGAGAAAATCGA